CTGCCCACCAGGCAAATAGTCTGAGCTCTGGGAAAAACAAATGTTCTCCAGACTGCCAGACACCTCGCAGGTAATTTTGTTTTTGTGCTCTGTTTTTAACTATTTAGGAAATTTACTGGTCAAAATGAGGAAGCTCCTTTAGGTCCAACATAGCTCCTCGGGGTCTTGTGATGTTCTTATAGTTTCTTGATAAATTTTGGAGAGATTTCAGGAAAAAATAAAAATAAAAAAAGGTATATATTTTGTCTCCTTTTGGGGTCTGAGTTTTGGGCTATGCTAATCATATCACATCTGTCCTGACACATTGCAGCTACCAAGGCTGATTTTGGGGTCTGTCCCTAGGAGGCCCCTGCTGCAGACAGAGCTGTGAGCCCTCAGCAGCACAGCCCCCAGTATTCCTGCTGGGAATTTTTGTCTTTTTTTTTTTTTTTTTTACCTTCCAGGAAAGTTTGCTTGCCTGTGTGAGCTGTCTCCCTAGAAGCTCAACTCAGCTGCAGGCCAAAATCCATTCAGATATTCAGTAATACAGCATGGAGCACTTAGCAGACAGGCACGCACTTGAACATAGGCTTAGATGAACCCAAAAAGCTGATTTTATTGCATTTTTTTCCTACCATCCTCATAGGATATAAAAGCCTAAGAAGGTAGATCTGATGAAGAAGAGAATGCTAACGTGAAGAGCTCAATAGAGAAAGAAATACAAGTTGTTAGAGGAAGGGAAGGAGCAGGTAATGAGCTTTCCGGGGGTCCTCACCTTTGGCCCTGCCACGTCTCCATGGGCTGTTTCTTGGGATGAGGTGGCTGATAAAAGCAGATGCATACTCTGCTCTCACAGAAGGAAAAGCACAGAACGGGAAAGGCTTTTCTCCTCCGATTACCTGGGAAACTGCACTGAATAATGCTCATTTTCAGAGCAGACCATTAGACAGGAGTTTAGAAATAATCCCCAGAGAGGTTAAATGTCCTGACTGCAGGTGCCAGGCATCTTCCTTACCCGCTCTTCTGGAATTTCTGCTCTTTTCCACAAAGCAGAGTGGTTTAACAGCAGAGCAGCAAGGTTACTACTAACAGCACCTCTGCATACTTGTTAAATTCTTTATTAGGATGTGCTCTGGGAAGGAGATGTTTAAATCTCCTCAGGGAAATAAAGTTTTGTAAATACTGAGGAGTTCTGTAAATGGGAGACATAAACATTGGCTGCTATTTAAATGAAAGCAGCCAGTTTCTTTCTTTCTTGCATGCTCAGAAATGCCCAAAGTTAGGAATCCTGATCCTGCGGTGAGTATAGAGGTGTGAAATGCCTACAGCAGGACCCCTCGTGCCCCCATTTTGGGGCCTGCCAGCAGAGCCACAGCCTGGGGCATTGGACTGGTGACTCAGTGGACACCTCATAATACTAATTAATAACTTACTTATTGGAATAATAACCTAAAAAGCTTTTTTT